CGCCGTGCCGCTCGCCGCGCCGCCCGTGGGCGTGGGCGTGGGCGCGGGCGCGGGCGACGAGGTGATGGCGGCGCCCAAGGCGGTGGAGCCGCTGCACCGCGAGCCCGCCTACCGCCCCCCCAACAAGGGCTTCCCGCCGGTGCTCTGGGTCATAGGTGAGACAGCGAGTCCGGTGTGCGTGTCTCGGTGTTCCCTTACCGGCTGAGGTGGCTCGGGGCATCATCTAAGGACACTGCAGTGCCGCGAACCAGGAGGTTCTGGAGTTCGAATCATGGCAGGATTTTCGACGCTAGCTAGCTACATAGCTAGGTCCCAGTCAACCCTCTCACTGGAGGAGAATTGTAGCGGCTGGCTGCTCTGCTCGGTAGTTTACCGTGGTTTCCAATCAACATCATGCGAATGTCGGCGCAGTACCCTTAAATCGGGATCGTGCGCAATCATTCTTCCTCTTTCCTGTCCTATCCTCACTGCCTACTCACATAAACACACCCACATACACTAACATGCACTACACTACCACACTCTTGTCGTGACGATTAGTCGTAGTAGAGCTTAGAACTTTTTCCTACTAGGGCGGTGCGTGACGAGATACCCGATTGGGGAAATCCACGCCTTCCGACGGTAAAGTCAGGCTCTCATCTTGCCATCCAGCGGGGGAAGACAATCGCCACCTCGGGCGATAAAACAAGCATTACACTTATGGAACTAATGATTTGTGCAGTGCGTACGGCTGGAGAAAGAGAGTAGATGAAATGTCATTGATGCATAATAATTGAAAAACTCGGTTTTTGAAAAATTCACACCAATTTTGTACAGCTGGGACACGGTTATGCAATTCGGAAATTCTTTAATACTTAATTTTTGGTATTGATGCTCCCTAGCCGCGACCCAGCGGATTAAACGTCTGAACTCACTCTAAATATATTGAAGAATACGTTCATAATTATTTTCCCTCTCTACAATACAATTCGCTACGAAAATATGACAGATTGGACCCATTGCCGTCAACACAAAACCCAGTAAGTGTGCCTCTGCTAGATAAGGGATGCATTCCCTCAGAGATGGATAAAACAGCTTTAAGACGCAAAATGAAAGCGAAAGCTAGGGTATGCTGAGGTATAAGGCAAGGTAACGATGTTTTCATGTCCGGGTTGCGTCGTAGGCCGCAGTAGCCACGCAGTGTATCTTCGTTGATACAAGGGATCATTTAGCAAAGATCTCTGTGTGACGTTGTATCCAAGTGGCGAACGATTATGAACGAGTGATGTACTGTCGTGATAAAGTCAATACAAAGTTATGAAAAAATGGATTTACATTTCTTTAGCGGGGTAGCAAGCGAGGGTGATAAACGCGTGTTGGTTGGAACACGCATCCTCTCCATTATCACTACGCCATCCTGGCCTCGCCCAGATTATTCACCAATGTTATAAAAGTATTTTTTACATATAATTAGTGAAGACAATTACTCATCTATCCTATTCCTTTGTCTTACTCTTCCCTACTTCTGCCTCCTTATCTACACTTCTAAATGCCTTTGACTGGTCACAGTCGTCTACGCTTCTGCTTCATGCTGGTCGTTCCGTCGTCGAAGCTTCTGCGTTCCCTTCACCTCTCCGCCTCGTCTCAGCCACTGCCTTATACTGTCTTCCCCTCCCTTCCCCCCTTTACTACGCTTCTGCCATACACCGAACTCCCCCGCACCTATTCTCCATCATCGCGTCTGTCTCATTCTGGTCTGCCCTCCCCTCCACCCTCTCAGGTACCCCTCCCCGGCGCCGCAATCTACTTTCTCGTGGGCAGTGATCACCCTCGTCACCACGTTTCCGCCGCGTGTCCATTGATTTCCGTTATGAACAGTCTCCTCCCGCGCCGCCGTCCGCCGCCGGACTTCCCCCTCCGCTCGGGCCTCGTGGCCTAATGGCGTGCGCGCCGTCGCCTCGCTTCGAATATTCCAGATGTGTACACACCGATAGGAGGACGCCTCGTTATTCCAGCGCTGCTGGCCGGCAACGCAGTAGTAATAAGAATTACGTTTGAGAAGTTTCGCAATTGAATCGAATGCGTTATACCGAGCATGAAAGCGAAAACAATGTCTACAGAAGGGGCGCTTTCCAAGCAGGTGCTGACGTCACAAGCTATGCAAATGTAATTTCGAGGCAGAGGTGATGTTTAAGGACACCCTTGTCTTTTGAAATAAAGCTCTTTTCGGTAAAAACATGCGTACAGCAGTTAAGAGAACAGCTACATATTCTCAAGAAATATTTTTCAAAATCAACCAGAATGTAACGCTCGTAAGTCCACATATGCACAAACGCATTCACACATTTTAAAACAAAGATGACAAGTGAATTGACTTTTCCCATTAGTGCCCAGAATTATTTTTTCTAGATTTTCATTGTTTTAGACACTGAATTTTATTATATTTATTTAATAAAATATTTTAAAATGATAAAAACTAATTTATTACATGTCAATCTGTAGATATATCCAGAAATTGAATGGTAAGCTAAACACTAATGACAGCAAAATAAATAGGTTTCTACATTATTATTTATTCATGAAAATGAAAATAGTAATACATTCATTTTAGGTAAAAATACTAATATTGATTCAAATTGAAAAGAAAATACACCCTGACGTGTATGATACTCAATGAAACAGCCTAGACTTCAACCAACATATTATCTTTCTCACATTAAATTCCTGTGAAACAAAATCGAATTTGACTGTTGCTGTGATAATAATGAAAATTAAATTAAAATATAACTAAAAACAAAGTTTAAAAGCGCGTCCCCAAGTGCGAAATGCGACGAGAGACGAAGAAAATCGGGTTATCAGGATATTCTAGGGCGAGGGATAGTCTGCTCGATGAAGGTAATGTAAACCACATTCATCTGGTTCGAACAAATAAGCAGACTGTGTCACCAGCAGTTATTATTTCATATTTTATACTTTTACAAAATTGTAATTATGGAAATTTTTCCCCCACGAATAAAATATCAAAAACGTAAAATATCGAGCACGAAACACAGATGTGGAAAAAACATCGACACTAATACGATAAATCGATGTTTAAAAATCGATCGATTGATTACTAATTCCGAGCGCATCATAGGTAAGACCATTAGTCCCGTAATTGTAGACCATGTTTTCCTCTCTTGAGGTGGTGGTGATGTTACCCCGCTAGATGGTGAGAACCGGCGCCAATCCACAGCGACCAGCGGGGTTTGCCCCAACCTAGCGAGGCACCGCCCCAGCTGGGACAAGCTCTAAGCTCCCGAATGGGCTCCCAGCACGTGTAGTGTAGTGCATGGAAGCAAAGGACAAAGTAGAGGAAGGAAAGATCGCGCGCGGTCGGTGGCCCGTTTGTTAGAGTACTGCTTCGTCATTCGTCTGGAATTGGTCGGAGAAACCACGAAAAACTATAACCAATCAGAGCAGCCAGCCACTAGAATTCTCCTCCAGACAACGGGTGAATTCGACCTAGCTATGCAGCTAGTGTCGAAATGCTTGTCACTGACTGGACTCGAATCAAAGACATCTCAGTCATAGGCCCTACTGTGACATCAGTTGATGCCCTGTGCCACATCTCCTCCCCCAGAATCAACTGATGTGACTGCAGTACCTCTGTTTTGAAAACCTCGGCTTTAATGTCGCATCCCTAGCGCAGATTCGGGAAACCCCCGGCCCGTGACCCGAGTGCGACCCTCCACCCGTTTAGATTCGGCCCCCGTTCGTCTTCTACCTTTGTCTAGAGCTAGCAGCGCGTGGACACAGACCTCCGACTTTGTGACAAGGTCTTGTGCGAAGTTCCTTGCGCTTTCCCATGCGAGGTCTCACAACAAATCTTACTTCCGTACGCGCGCTGCCTGTCACAACGACCGACATCGCATTCCAAGAAGTTTTTCCGAAGATTTAATATGCGAAAACAAAATAATATTGGCACGGATAGTGAATGATTATATGGAAAAAAATTATGCAATTATCTTATAATATTAAAGCCAATAGTCATAATCAAGTGTAGGGTACATCATCATTCTAATTTTTTACGTTATTGATTATTTTGCAAAATTTATGTAAATAATTAATCTAGATAATTATAATATAAATTTGTGAATTATGAGTTGCCAACATTTATTTGTTTAATAATTTGGTTCGACCTTGATTTAAGAGACACAATGGTAGTTTGGACTACAAGTTAAAAAAGTTACCCATGGCCGGTCAACCCATTTGAACTCAACGTAACGCTCAACGTGCGTATAGTGTCATTCTCATTCTCATTGTTGGAGCTCTCTGGTAACATGCATATGCAACTTTTAGTGCTAAACCATTGTTATGTTGCTATATTATACTAATAACGTGCTCCAAACCGCTAAACGCTGGTTATAGCATTTTTTCTAGAAACCGTTACAACTGAGCTGCTTATGCCCCGTCAACTTCTGTGTGAACTAATAACATTTGCTTTACAGCGGCCTCTCCCTCCAACTTAACCACAGGCATATATAAGAGCTAAACATAGTTTTAGATGAAGATTCGCACCGACGGAAGACATGAGTATATACCCTGACTAGGAACGTAAAATGCTTTAGTTTCCTCGGCTGAATCGACATTTGGCAATCAAGAATGAAAAAAAAAACTTCCTTATATGTTTCATTTAGGATATTTCAGTCTAGTGAAAGTGCAAAATTCGCAAAAGAAAATTTGAGATAAGAAAACAAAGAATTGAATGCCGGTCCCGATGGCCGAGATCCTTAAGGCTGTAGCGATCTCGGACCGAAGGATCACGGATTCGAGCCCCGCTTCGGTCATGGTTGTATTTGTGTTCATCATTTCACTCGCTATCATCACCATATCACGCCATGTTCACAGTTACCATACCGTTAAACGCAATAGTGGTCGCTATATGTTAATGCGACCTTAAATAACATTGAATTTGCCTGTTTCGCTTTTGGGACAGCGGCCTCTAACAAGGGGGCGCGCGTGTGCATGTGCAGGCGGGCCGGGCAGCAACAAGTCGGCGCTGTGCCAGAAGGCGGTGCGGCAGGCGCCGGGCTGGGTGCACTGCAGCGTGGGGCGGCTGCTGCGCGCCGCCGCAGAGACCACGGACCCGCGCCACGGCAGCGACGCGCCGCTCGTGCGCCAGGCCATCGCCGCGGGCGACATGGTGCCGCAGGTGAGCCTTGGCCCCGCCTTGGCCCCGCCTTGGCCCCGCCTTGGCCCCGCCTTGGCCCCGCCTTGGCCCCGCCTTGGCCCCGCGCGCATCGTGACGTGGTGTAACAGCTCGCGCGCCTGCAGGCGTGGACTGTGCTACGGGTCGGAGGGCGTCTCGGAGATGGCATAAGACTGGGACGTATTTACTTGGCTGTCCGGGTGACGCCGCGTCCATGGCGAAGGTGCCGACGTTTCGGTCGCCATTCTGCGACCTTCCTCAGGGCGTAATGCGCGAAGATGTATCTCAGGGACGCGGCGTCAACCGGACAGCCAAGTAAATACTGACTGCGGACGTGGAAGCCTACGCTCTCACATGACTCGGAGGGTTTGTGCGCTTCGCACTTCCGTCAGCTGACTGTTACGAGCAGAGGCGTTGCATTTTATTCAACTGGTATGTATTTTTGATATACCTTGACAATGAACTGTATATTCTAATAATATATTCAAAAATTGCAAAAAAAGAAATTAATCTTAAAAGTCACTTTCAAAATTGACCTATTTTAGTAGTTAAATTTATTGATTGTACAATTTCGGAAATAAACGAAATGCAATTGAAGAAAACAATCATTTTATATTTTTAATACCAAGGTCAATGCACACAGAAATCATGTTTTACATTAAAAACTTGCCAGGTCAAGTTTGAGAAGAGGATGACAAAAATAAGCGCGGAAAATCATTTTTGATTAAATAGCGTTTGTATGTATTTTGACAGACCGTCTATTTCCGATTCACTATCTCATTGTTGCATGGAGATCTTATCTACAAATATAAAGGAAATTCGCTTTCGTCTCTGAGATGTTCTCCGACTGGGTCACGGAATGGATGCTGTCATGTGAGAGATGCCCTCCGACCTGTAGAGCGAGCCACCTTCTTGAAAGCTCCGAGATGATAGCCCTTAACGCTATGTCATCTTAAAGATACCTTCCGAGGACGTTCAATAGTTTCTGGCCGCAAAGGGTTAAAGGCTCCCACAGACCGGCGCGGAAGACCCGCAGCCTAGGCGGAATGACCGCAGTGGAAATTTCGCGTCACGTGTTGCCTTATGAGCACGTTCAGACCTGTACGGCAGGCGAGCGTTGCCGCAGCGGATTAGCAGCGTTTTATTACCTGCAGATACGTTTCGACCGCTGCCGCTCGAGTTTCGTGGAAGTCTGCCCGCCTTCGAGAGTCTTCGCTTCCCTCAGGATCGAGCTCCCTTGCCTTTGTACTGGGCTAGGAAACCCATCGCCGAGTCATAATTGACGCTGCGATGTGATCGATCCCGCGGATTTGTCGCCGCGTGTAGCGTGGAACTTTCCGCGCCGCACCCGCTGCGGATTTTCCGCGCTAGTCTTTGGGTGCCTTAACCCCACTAACTAACTCCATAACTAAGGCATCGTCAGACGATGCAACTAGTGTCGAAAGATTCCCCACCCCCTTCCCTTCACACCCCGTTTCTCATACAGTCCGTACCTTCATTGTATGACTAGCCAGTAAAATACACGTATCGTTGTGCTCTGAAGATTTAGCAATCATAATGGGAAGATGGCGATCTGACAAAAGGTCGCATGAGGAGGTACTTCTGCGAACGCTTCTCAAAAGCCATTTGTGGACAGTGCCAAGTAACTGCGCGCTCTGAGAGTCAAGTCATTAAGGTGTATCTATAAAACACTTTACAATGTGTTTTATAACTCCGTATCATACATGTTCAATCCATTAAATTTAGTGTTTCATTGTAAAAATTAGTTTTTCTTTATTTGTATCCAAATTAGTCTGCTTGACTACGTCTTTGTAACAATGCTTGGTACAGGGAGCCTTTTTAATCTAGGGTTAAGTAACCTTTTCCCGCTCGTACTCCAGTGCTGCATATCCCCAGAAAGATCTCCCATTGGTTAAACGGCGAGTCATCGTTGGCATTTAAAATGAAATAAAGGCGTTGTCATTGCCAACATTATGTATTAAAAGAGCAGCTTTCGATGGCTTAGCCATCATCATCAGTTTCCTGCTGTTTGGAAGCCACAAAACGACTTTTAGCCATCGAAAGCAGCTATTTTAATAAATAATATTATTGGCAATGACAACGCATATAATTATTTCAAGTACTATCATTGCTGTCACTCCTACTTCTCTGTTAAAGGCTGGATTTCTCTACGCCCTGATACACTGAATAATCACCTAACATGTTCAGAATGTAATTTTACATTGAAACCGTTTTCTACGTTCTATCAACATTTATAAAACCGCCAAGTTCAGTGAAAATGCACTACCTTCAATTTGCATCAACACTGGGTCAAATTGCTTGCATCAATATTATCGCATTCACTTTCACACAAAATCTCATTATCATCACTAGTGATTATTTCTGAATCACTTAAGTCGCTGGTATATAATTCCTCCTCAATTTTGTTCTCTCTCAAATCTGAAATGATAGCTGTTTACATGTTTGATGTATAAATTGACAGTTCGTCTCTTCTTTTCTCTAATATACATAATTCTTAGTAGAAACTCCACGGATATACTTTCAATTGATGAGGTAGCATCACGTAGTCAATTAGATATAACCCGATAGGTAGAAGAACACGACTGAAAACTTCGACAGTTACTTTTGGACGCTATGAGCGGGAAGGGAGAGTTTTTTATTGCTCAGGGCTTGGAACAGGAAATAAAAATAAATACATGAGAAAAATTGCCACAGCTCCATGGTTTGTTAAAAACCAACAATTACATAGAGAGAAAAATCGAACTCCTCCACAACTACATACTAAAACATACAAAATCTTTAACGAAACATTACCAGCCGTACATGCCACCAAAACAAACCAAGTAAGTCGAACATCCAAACATCGCAGCAGAATAATTTCACAATACCCCAAAGATATTTTCACTCCCCCTTCAACCGAACTACTTAAATCCACCGAAAGTATTACAACTAGTTTTAATGTAAGTATCTCCTGAATTGATCACCACCAAATGAAAGTGGATTGGTTTAGCCGTGGGGATGACTATCCCTAAAACAAAGTAATCATTTGTCATTTTTTCGTCATCAGTTTTTCTTTTCCCAACTCTCCGTAACGTACCTCTCTTTCTTCTTTTCATTTTCTTCGTTATTCCTTTACAGTTTAAACTACAAATTAGATCCATAAAAAAATTAATCCACGTTACATCAATTACCTTTATTTATTTAATGGAAATCCCAAAGTTTACGTCTCATCATTGCGATTGAAAACTCTCAACCATCCTTTCTGGAATCTGTTCACCACGATAGCACCACGTAATATAACTTTCTTGTGCAGGATCTTAGTTCTTTTGGAGAGTGTGAATGAATTTCATTTTATTTATCTGATCTCTCCCCTTCTTGTCATTAATATTCTAGGATTGACCAGCCTCTAAGTGATACATATCATCGCAATATGCAACTAAAACGATAACTAAAAATGCCTGCTACAAAAAAAACCGTTGTCGATCCGGGTGGCCGAGATCGCCAAGGCAGTACTGCCGTAGTGATCTCGGGCCGAAGGATCGCTGGCTCGAGTCCCGCCTCGGGCGTGGTTGCATTTTTGTGTTTGTCCTTTCACCCCTCATCATCACTATATCACTTCATGTAACATACAGATACATACAGATATCAATCAATAGCGATCGCTAATGACCTCGTCGTTAACTAAAAAACCAGAGTTGCAAGGCGCCCGCGCGTGTGCTTGTGCGCAGACGTACGTGCTGCAGCTGGTGGAGTCGCAGATGCGCACCAACATGAGCGCGCAGGGCGTGCTCATGGACGGCTTCCCGCGCGACCTGGCGCAGGTGCACGACTTCGAGAACAAGGTGAGCGGCCACGCGGCGCAGCGGAGCGCGCGAACGCAGAACGCACACGGCCAGCGTTTTAATTAGAGCCCGGAAAATATCTACTAAATATGTAATATACACAGTAGCGCTAAAAAACCGCATCACTTTTCTTACAATTGCTGTATGCAATATAATCCTGAAAACACACTATTTGATTTGCAAATATCGAGCGAGTTATAGAGGTAATGGAATCAGAAACATCATATAATCCACATAAAATATATGATTATGCTATGTATAAACAAAAATATGTATATTTACATAATAAATATTACATAATATATGTAACACGTTTACATAATACAAAGTTACATTTATAAAAAAATTGTGAACTAATTTTAAAAAGAATACAAACGTTTTAAAAATTATTTGCAGTGAAAATTAATGCACACTTTGCGCCACACAACTTTCCCGTCATTAGCAAAGCTTCGTCTTTTGCTACCGAGGATCGTAGTTTAGCAGCCAGACTAGACGCAATACTAGCCATCGATAAACTGGCGATATCTATGATCAACAAACAATCACTGTAGCGTGCAGCATTTTCTTGGTAGTATTACACGTTGGCGATCAGCGAAGTTTCTCGGAAATTTAGATTAAAGATCACGAAACGCGGCGTCAGTGATATATTTCGCATCTGAAAGTGATCTCAGTCGCTGACACGCACTTCTCACCACTGAGACACATGAAGCAGACGCGCCGGACTGTGAGAATATCCGACTGCAACTTCACGTAGACAGCAGGCAATAATTATGTAGGAAAGAATGTTGATTTTTTGAAAATACATCTTTTCGTAAAAAAATAAAATAAAATTGAAGAAGACTAAAAATAGTTTGTGAAAATAGGGAAATATATATTACATATAACTAAATATGTAAAAATATGTAACAAAAAAACCCATACTGTGTTAGGACGGTGACGATTCGCCAAAATTACAGTTTTGAAAACGGTAACTAAAGACAAATAAAAATGCATTTACATAAAAAGCCGGTCTTTAGTTATCAGGGGGTTCAAATCGCTCATGTACCAATGTAGACGGTTTGAAGGCCGCGTTCGAATATTAGAAATGACGAGCAGCAACGTTTGAATTTGTATCGCTTAGCAAGGGCTTTCAATTAGTCGACATATTCCACATAAGGAAAATATCTTTCCAGTCATACTCTCGGAGGAAATGTACTGATTTCGCCGGAAATCAATAACAATCGGGTGTTGACAATGACACGCATAAACCGAAATAAAGACTATTAATTATCAAATTACTATCACGCAAACTAGTTTTCTTAATCTGAATTAATTACTAGGAGTACCTTATTTAGTTTAGATCGACGATGAACACAATTTTTTAATTACCATCGTTTCGGCTTGAATCAAGTCTTCCTCACGGCTATAACAAAGAATATACATTTTCCTGGCTACCAACTTTACAAAAAACGAAGTAATTTTGTATTGTGGATGAAACCACGTACCATTTTAAAATTTGGCGAATTCCCTTGCCAGTTTCAGATATTTTGCTTCCCCTCGTGCGTGCACACGCAATATAATCCTTTTCCATATTAACACTCATTACCCTCTCCTTTCACGAAGATCTAAGATCGTTTCATTATAAGAGACCACATACAGTAAAAATCTAAATTTTGACATTTTGGATGTTTTAACATTTTCTAAATACTAAAGAATTTTCTTAATAAAATTATATATAATAATACGTAATTGTGAAACATTATTTTATTATATTTTTGGAATTTTCTTCGTTCATCAGCACAAATAAAAATGGCAATCATATTGGTTATGAGTATCTCATTTACATTGCAGCTTTTGAACGCGTTCATTTTCAAGACTCTGGTTTTGAGTTAATGATAGAAGTTCATTCTTTAATGCTACTTGCACTGCAAAATTTTATCTTCCATGAATATTTACGCGGCAAACGCATTTTATTTATTTCTTATCATGGCGAGGTGACTGGTTTCATAGGATTAATGTCGATGTTGATTTTGACTTTATTGAACATTCATTATCTCTGAAACTACTCAAGTTATGATATTTTTTTTTAGTATAAGGTCAATTACGTAATAAAGAATACATTTTAGCAAAATGAACCCAGTAAGTTTTACACTTTAGATTTCTGCATACAAGAACTGAGAAAATATAAAAATTTTCACTTTTACTTCACATATGGTGTAAATTACAAAAAATATTCAAAAAACTGCTTGCATTTAATTAAAACATTTCAAGCAGCTGCTTCTAAAATTGTACAGTACTATGATAAATAATTTGTGAGGAATTGGGCAAATTGTACAGCCAAAGTGACATGGAAGAGGTAGGAATTTATGAATGCATTTAAAATAGTAAATGAATCCATTAACAATTCAAAGGTGTATTTTTATGTGTAAAATCGGTCGCTAGGTAAATGTAAATTATTTGTTATAACTGTGAAAAAGACTTAATAAAACCCAAAACGTAAGCAGCTTTAAAAATTGGTGTTCATTATTGACCTAAACTCAATAGAATACTCTCCAATTATTATCAATAATATTAAACAAAAATGATATTAATATCCTTAACACACAACGAATGCAATAATATAAGAGATGTAATTTATCCACGAAGAATACTCGTAGGAGCTTGAAAGATTTCTCTATGGGAATAATGAAGTGTTAGGTAAACAAATGTCTGCGGTCACATTAGTTGTTAAGTCTATGTACTTGTACATTGCACTTACAAAATTATTGTGAGTGACCACAGATATTACGGTCGTTGGAGATCAGTCTACATATCCATCAATTGTAGCGCTGGATTCAACGTGTCAGAGTACCAATGTTATGCCATACAGTGACCTTCACATTTTAAAAGCATTTATTCCTCCTGAGTATCAACTCTTCTAATTCACGCTGGAATATGGCGTCAAAAAAACAACTATCTCGTGACGTTAAAAGTAAAACGTTTTCCCCCGCTTCCTTACTTCACGCGTATTTTATAGCTCGCGTCCATACGGTCATTAAAACGACGCTGGAGTGTGCGGTAGGCCCGCAATTAGAGATGCGAAGGAGGCCATGGTGGGGCGCGGGCGTGGGGTCGTGGGCGCGGGCGCGAGCGACGACATCAGCCCCCAGTAGATTCGCCGGCCCAGGCCAGCGTTATGGGCACACAAAGCGCTCACCTCCGGCGCCCGTCTGGTCGCCGCGCGAGCTCCCTCACGTTCACGCCCCGTGCATAACTCACGGCCTCTCCGAGGAAGCCCTGTGGACGAGCGTTCGACGCACTGTCAGCTCTCAGCAGAAAGTTTCTATCATGACACAAACAAGGAAACAGAAACACTGTTGGACTAAATGTTCGTTTTCGTTTGGGTCTCAAAGTTCTATTGTTTATTCAACTTCCTTGATTACATTTATATTTTCTAATCGAAATAAGAATAATTAAAGCTTCTCGGTTCAAGTACTATTCCACCTAGCTTCATGTTTAACACACGCCTGTCGGAGAGAATGTACTGAGAACAATAGTTGAAAGCAGTTTGAGCTTTGAGTTCAATTATGCGGTGGCACCTAATTAACAAACCATTATTTCATTTATCCATACACACTAATATTGATTGTAGAAGGTTCACTCAACTCAATGTTTCAAATACGTAGGTGTTAATAGATCAGGCTTATGGATATGTCACTGTGGTTTATCGGCGCAAAGGTTCTACAAGACTTAAGAGTTAATATGACTAGCAAATCTATTGCGTTTTGAAAGACGTCAGAGCTCATCGGTTATGATGATTGAAAATAAATTGAGTGGCCGAGTGAATCTTGGAATATGGGACAGTACATTACTACCAAGCAACCATGCCCTATTTTTACCGGACCGTGAGTTGAAACCGTTCGAAATCTTGTCCCTGATAATAGGTATATTGATAGATTCCATGATTATTTCGTGCTTCCGGACGCTATTGCTAAGGTCATTAGTCCCGTCATTGTGACGCATGTTTTATCACGGGAGACGGCGGTGTCTTCCAACCCTGGATGGAGAGATTCAGCGCCAGCCTACAAGTCGGCGTACGGAATTTTCCCCATTCCGGTTTCTCCCACCAGCAGAGCGCCACCCCAAATACGACAAGCTCTAAGCTAAAGACTGGTCTCCCGGTACTGAAGGGCATGCAAGTACGTATACGTATGTGTACGAATGGAGTGCTGATAGGACAAGGAAGAGAAAGAGAAGATCGCGCGCGGTCCGTGGCCTGTTTGTTAGGCTACTGCTCGTCCAGTATAGATCGGAGAAACTAAGGGAAACTACCTAGCGGAGCAGCTGCCCGCTAGAATTCTCCTCCACCCAGCAGTTGAACTCGGCCTAGCTAGTGAACAGCCAGTGTCGAAAATCCTGCCACAGTCGGGCTCCGACCCTATGACTTCCCTGTTAGGGGCACTGTATTGATATCAGTGAATGATAAGAGGTTGAAAGAGGCATGGTCGAAGCTGTCCGTTACTGTCGGCTTGGAGGTTTTACCAATTATAACTTGCATTGCGCTAATTAAAGCGTAGATGACCAGTTTCCAATTTGTTAATATGCACAATAAATAGTTCTGACGGACGAAGTCATGATATACAACTTAAGAAGAAATGTTATAACTTAGACAACTACACTAACAGCAAATTGTTTAGTAAAACATTTTTATCTTAGAAAAAAGCGCTTTTTAAAAATTTTGTGTCTTTCTAAGAAATTAGCATCACTCGTAATGCATTTATAGACAATATTAATTTTTCCTCTCTTCACAAAGAAGTTGTGTCATTTGAACGATCCTGCATTATGCTTACAGCAGAATCTACCCAACGGACACGAAAGCCTGTAAACGTCCAGTTGGTTATCGCCTCACTGTTACGAATCATGAAAAAATCAGCTTCTATGTGTTTCTGAGCAGGTGCAGGCGTTTTTAATCAACTGGAAATGGAATTTTTGCTGTTTATGAGCGTCACCCCAATCTGACCGATCACGTACATGAAACTTCCATTCTCTTAGCAAAAACAAAACTTATAAACCCTTAAGACTTCCTTAACAATTGATGTTCTAATAAATCATGGAACGAATGTGTAAATGCAAGGAGTATATTATAAAATTGGTAGTCGCTCGCCTTTGAAGAGTTTTCATGGTCAATGTATCCGAGAATCACGCCACTGCACGTAACGCGACCTCCGTTGTGGCACCAGATAGACAACTCTGATTATTCCAGAGCGCACGGCGACCTTGCATCACGTCACTCCGAGGGTTAAAGATCTGTTTTCTAATCATGCATATAATTCAACACCTTACCTTTGTGTACGAAAGAAGAGTTACCACAAACAAAAAAGTATTTTTGTTGCATTGCTTGAATAGATAACACAAATTATTAGTAGGGTGGTTTCAAGAACTGAATGTCAGTCGTGGGAACGAAATGAATAATTATTGAGACTATGTTTCACCTACCTACTTAACTCGCTCAAAATTCTTTATTCGGTTAGCTACCGTATGACAATTAATTTTAAAAAGTACTTTTTAACTCGCCGTGAGCGAAACGCGGTTTCTCGTTCTTGTTTTTCGTGTGCGAAACATCGCGAAGTCTTTGCGAAACATCATAAAGAGTGGGTGAAAAATCTGTAACAATTAGCAATTGCCTTTCGCGTTGACGACGCCTATGTTTATTATTTACAAAGAACAGTGTTACGGTACTGACTGAAATCTATTTACTTTTGTACAGGTAAAGTATTTCTAGTTATTTGATATTTAATTTATATTGCTTTACTTGACGCATTGCATTTCGCTCACGGCGTGTTAAAAAATTGTACACGCAACACGGGCGCCAGGTGATTCCAGCAATCGTTTCTTTGCCGTCCTCGCCATGCTCAGACGACAAACTCGACTCGCGCGTGAATAACTTGTTTCGTGCCCTTGTTACGTAAACTACTATTTGAACACAATTTATTAGTCATGTGCATAGATAGGTATTCTGATTATAAAACACATATTGAACGTCAAACCTTTATAAATAGATTACTCGATCTCTAATAAAGTTAGAAAACACATTGTACCAATGAAATTACGGCGTTTCTTATTAAAATACATTTTTAAATTTTGGAAGCTTAATAGTCATATTAAACAAGTCAAAATATGCAGCAGAGAACATAATTTGGAGATTTATTATGTTTACTGGCAACTTATAATGGATACGCGTATAAATAGAAGTATCCCAAACACAACTGTCCGTGTTTTCCTCACCGAACGTGATCATTTTAGATACATTACCAGCGCGGTCCTAATCGGCAAAGTTCGCTTGCGATCACCATGTTTGATACATAGTCGGGACGCATAGCGTGGACTCAATCGAATGAGAAAGATCAGCATTTGGCGCTCACGCCGAACATTTTGTAATAATATCTATCTCATTGCAAATGATATTCGGGTTGAAGGACCCTACTACACGTTTAAAGGATGGAGGAAATTATTTGACAATTGAAACAACAATAATAGAACTACGAAAATAACGGTAGTTAATGTTATAAAAAGTGTTCCATGATTATGGTTCTTTGGGTAGACTCAACACGCGAGAAGACAAACGAGACGGATGGAAATTTGACGATGAGACAGCCAGTAGGGAGCTTAAAGCACGAAGAGTGGTTAAATCACACAGAATGTGTATGGCTAGGCTCCGAGACGAGACTAGCCGAGAATAGGCAAGACATTGAGAAGCGTACGTAAAGAGTCTACGAAACGAGACAATTTGAAGCGGGCCTATGTGAAACAATACTATAAGAAGCGAGAGGAAACTATACTTTGCGAAGCGAGACTACAGAATTATTGTGTACCGTCAGCGACATCTTTAGGTGAAAATCGCCTAACGTGAAGTAGCACCTGATCATATGGCCATTGACTTTTCTCCTAAATAAAAATAAATCATTTCACAATTAAAAGTTACGAAGCGATTGACATGTTGACAAGTTACAACAAATTGCGGCTCCAGAGCGAAAAACTCTTTGTACTCTTTCCTTACGATAGCTTTATTTCGATTGAGTGATTAATGATTCCTGGCGTGTCAACTGTTAAAGTAATTAGTCCTTTCACTGTAGTGCATGCATGATTCATGGTAGATGGTAGTGATCTTTCCCGCTGGATGGCAAGATCCGTCGCCAATCTTCCCGTCGGCTTGTGGTGTTTCGCCCAGTCAGATATCTCTCATCAGCGGCGCACCGCCCCAGTCGGAACAATCTCTCAGCCAGGCATGTGTTGTAATATAGAGCATGCAAGAGTAAGTGTGTGTAAGTAAGGGGTGACGATAGGACAAGGAAGAGGAAGAAAAGGCCGCGAGCGGTCCGTGGCCCGTTTGTTAGGATACTGCTTCGGTATTCACCTGGTGTTGATCGGCGTACCACCGAAAACACGAATCAGAGCAGCCTGCAGCTAAAATTCTTAAGACAGCGGCTGATTTCGAGCTAGCTGCCAGAACCGACAGACATAATTTCGAAAATCACGTGATTTATAATGCATTATATCAAGACTTTACAAATGCCCTTTAAATGCCTAACAAGGTCGTACCTTAAACGACTTCAAGTGTCGCCACGTCGCTTTTAGTGCAAAACGCTTCTATCTTGTGTGCGCCTCTCATTGAATGTGTTTGCGGTGGGCTTGCAGTTCCACCAGCAGCCGTCGGTGATCCTGCTGGACTGCTCCAAGCTGCAGCTGGGGCGCGGGCGCGTGGACGACAGCGTGGCGGCCTTCCGGCGCCGCCTCGAGCTCTTCCGGGAGCTGACGCTGCCGCTGCTCAAGGCGCTCGACGCCGAGGGCCGCCTCACCATCGTCGACGGCGACACAGACACGCCCGCGGTGAGAGCCTCGCGCTGTGCGCTCCTCGGCCCTCGGCCCTCAGCCCTCAGCCCTCGCCCATCGCCCCGCGCCCCGCGCCACGCGCCCCGCTCCCCGAGCCCCACACCCGGCGCCCCACTTCCCACATCCTCGCCCCACATCCAACGCCCCTCGCCCCTCGGTCCTCACCCATGAACCCTCGCCCTTCGCCCACTGTCCCTCGCCCTTCCCCACTACCCTTCCTCACTGCCCCTCGCCCAGCGTCCCTCGCCAGTAGTCCCACGACCCCTGCCCCTCGTCTCTCACTCGCCCCTTGTCCCTCGCCCATCGCCCCGCGCCCTTCTCCCCTCCCCCCACACCCATGAACCCTCGCCCTTCACCCATTGTCCCTCGCTCTTCCCCACTGTCCCTCGCCCTTCCCCACTATCCCTTGCCCAGCGTCCCTCGCCAGTAGTCCCACGACCCCTGCCCCTCGTCTCTTCCCTCCACTCGCCCCTCGTCCCTCACCCATCACCCCTCGCCCACTGTCCCTCGCCATTCCTCACTGCCCCTCGCCCAACGTCCCTCACCAGTTGTCTCTCGCCGTTCGCCCCTCGTCGCTCTCACTCGCCCCTCCTCCCGATTTCAATCCACCAATTTTTGTAATGGTTGACTTTTACCAATGTGTCTTTCGCTAATGTTATGCAATAAAAAAACTATTGGTGTAACATCAAATTGCAGAAAAAACAAAGAGAATGTAACATAATTTAGCAACATTTCAAAATATACTTCATTAAAATAAAGTAGGTGTCTCAAGGCAAATGCGTAATGAAGTCGAAAAATGGAGCATTTGTTTTCCTTCATTTGTCAATTGTTGCGCAAAAGTTGGAGTTTGAAACACTTTACAGGTTTTGTTCGCAAAAAAACTTTATTGGTCGAGGCCATAAAAGTACGAATTTAACGACACTAAATGGTCCGCAAAATGCGACTTCGCTGGTGAGTGTAAAAAGAAGTGTTAGAAAAACATGACTGTCGAATTTGAAAGGTTTCTATCAATTTACATATTTATGACGTGAATTTTGGAAAAACATCTTGGTGTATAAAGTTGTTTTAGATACAGTTTTATTTCATGGTACAAAATCGTATTACATAGCAGCTGTCTACAGGGTTAATTTGAAAGTGAAAGTAAAGTATATGTTGCAGGACGATGAAAATATGTGTCTATTGTTAGTTTAAAAAATATCTTGATTCCAAATTGTTAGTGATAATAGTGGCAGACTTTGACGTTGCAATGTGCAGCCGGTAATTCCCCGAGGCTGGGGACTCCATTTACGACCTGCGTGCCGCTTATATGAGAAATGTGTATTGCTCTGTGTGTCATTAATATACATAATGGCTTGTGGGGCGAGAAACACCGCTGAGCCACGTGTACAAATATTACACGTGCCGCAATATAGCCGTGACCCTGGAAAAGAACCACCCAAAAACACGCCGCCGCTCAAAGTGCTAAAAGCGCTTTTTGTGTTGTTCTCTTATGAATTGTCCCGAGCCGTGACGTGACGTGACGTGCAGAGGTGGATGGGGAAGTATAAACGGTTGTTTTTACATTTTTACATTCTCGCACTTACTAAAGAGAAATATTGTAATCATGCGCCGGAAAAAGGCGAGTATTCGTCACAAAAATCTTATTGCTGGTCCATGGTAACGAAAAACTGGATAAATTCAATCACTAATTATAGAAAAATTCCTATAACACGTGGTGTAGCGGAATTCTAAAGTTTTGTGCGTCCTCCATACCAAAAAATCGACTGACGGAAAAACGTCTCTGTTTGTTCGTCCGTCTGTGCACAAATCGTTCAGCGCATAAATCGGTCAGCCGATTTTCTCCAAAATTGATATTTCTCAATCGTTCTAGCTGATGTCGAGGACCCTGGAATTTGAAACAGATATTTTAAGTTTGGGGGGTACTTTACATCAAGCCCCTGGGAGATTTTCAAAATTGTCAAAAAAAGGCTCCAAGTTTTTGGATTATATTTTGTTTTTGAATAGTGCAAAGGACGTTTAAGAAAATGGTGTAAGTCTCATTTTCGTTGTCATACCCGATTTTCCTAAAATTGAAAAAAATAAATTATACTTCAAAATTGTCTGTTGTACAAAATTAGCTGTTCAAAAAAGGTCATATATGTGCGTTTGAAAAAACTAGTAGTTTTTGAGTATTTTGTGAATGAAGTTGATAAAAAAACGTTTCTCAAAAACCGCTCCAATCTTTTTCTTTAAATTTTCTCCACATTTGTAATACGGAACGGTAAGAAATATGGCACCAGTCTCATTTTTGGATATTAGTTATTTTTTTCGTAAATTGAAGAAAACTTTTTAAAACAACAAATTGGAAGGTGGAGAGTTTTGCCTCAGACAAAGTCTTTTGTACAAAATTAGCTCTTTAAAACAGGTCATGTACAATTTTTTGAAAAAAAACTAGTAGTTTTGCTTAATTTCTGCTTGAAATTAATGATACAGATTTCACGCCAACTACGGACCACCTTCCATTTATGGCAAAAATGGCGCTTTTATGAAGAATTGATAAGAAAATATTGCTCAATGTTGGCAACGCCCATCGCCGCATGCGCGCTTTGTTGTCAGTGCTCATCGACTGAGTTGTGTTGTCATAGACAGAAATGCGATATAATATTACATAACTGTTACTAAGGGGCGAGAAGGGGGTGCTGTTTTAGCAGCACAAGTTTGCAATACCACTAAGGGTGTTTTAACTAGGGGAGTAGAAGTCAGTCGCCGAACGCTTCTCCTACCTAGTCACCTACTCCACTCATACAGAATATGTACTTTTAATGAAAATTATTAATTATATCAGGATAGCATAGTCATTTAGTATTTCAATACTTTATTACGCAGATATTTATGCACTGGCTCGGCAGTATTACTGAGAACTTACGGAGAACCTAGGGTTTGAATACCGACGCTGGAAAATTTTCGACATTATCTTCTTAGCTAGGTCGGATTCAACTATCTGGAAGAGAATTATAGCGGCCGGATGCTCAGATCAGTAGTTTTGCGATGCACACCACGCGAATGCCGGAGCATTACACTAAACTAGAAGGAATGTACAACTCACCGAACCGTTTCCTCCTCAAAGGATTACGAGTATTTCTCACAATTACTCAGATGTATAAAAGTGTACATGGCATCATTAAACAATCTACAATTGAATGAAATTATGCAGGAAACATCCAAGCCACAATAAACGCGATGGTTGCAAAATGGCTTAAAAAATTGGGAAATATCTTAAATTTTGGAGTAGCATGGATGCACGCCAAAAATTAGATGTGTGAGTTGTGGATGTAGAAAATTAAAAAAAACGTTCTACACATTCACTACACGGAAAATATAATGCATCCAAAAGATTGCTTCATGTCGTTCAGTAATAAGTCGAGAAGACTAATAAAATTAGGGAGATTTACACTTTTTGGAACAATATAATCACTATTCACTGTGAACTCAGAATTCAACATCTTTCTGAAAATGTAATAGAAATGTCTTATATTTTCCCAGTCCTCTGCTCATGTATGCTGTAGGAGAAATATTGAAAATAAATTCTGCTGGCCACCAAACCGTGAAATCGTAATGCATCTCAAATAATTATAACCACTGATTTTCTTTGTGTGAAAGGATATGTGTGAGACTAATGCTAGGCATTGCATTTACGTACACTCACAGATATTTATATTTAATATCACTCTTAAATTTTAAGAAAACTCCTTGTACTAGTTTCGTTATAAGCTTAAAGTCAAATGTTTTATCGAAGACCAGATTTCGATTTAATAAATCGATTACAACTCGCAAATGCAGCAATGATCGCAACTCACAATGGCAGATACGGTTTTAAAATAATGTATCGTATAAAACTACTTAATGATGGTAAGGGGAAAAATTTGAGCCCATTAACTTTCATTTAAAGCAAAAATCACGAAATTTGGTGGAGTGGAAAGCACACACTCATTTATAAACGAAAACCATAAGCCCTTCAAATAAAAAGAGTTCTGCAATTTTCTAAATATCGGAGGTTTTAATCATAAGAGGAAGTATATCATACTTATAAATGCACTTTATTCTGTAGGGGCAAAACATTTAAGCACCAATGTTCTACTAGTATCCCGAAAAGGCCCTCGGGCCTCACCGCTCGATGATTAGAACCAGTTAACGCCCGTGGAACATGTATGATTATATTTTTTACCTACTTTTATGCATTTATATTTACTAATTAACTACAAGTAGAAGTGGTCTTTACTTGGTTTGTCTTTTCGTATTTCTCTCCCATAATTACCTTTCATAATTACTTCTCATAATTTCTTCCATAAGAGAACTCATAGCATCATTCATTTATTTTCATATTTCCCTCGCAACATAACCATGAATATCTCGCTCCAGAAACGCTATGCAATGTATATCGATCTTGGTATCGAAGGCAATAACAAGCCATAACGTAACAGTAACAAATAAAATAATCAACCACGCATGGAGAATGTGGCCTTAACGCGGCTTCCGCTTGCTGTTGCCGGGCGGCAGGTGGAGGAGGAGTTCCAGCGCGTGGTGCTGCAGCACGTGGAGCACGTGAAGCGCACGGGCGGCCTGATCGTGCCGCAGCACGCGGCGCCGCCGCCGCGCGCTGCTGAGCAGGCGCAGGCGCCGCCGCCGCCGCTACCCCCGGGGCAGCTGCAGCCGCAGCCGGCCGCCGCGCCCGCCGCCCCCGTGCTGCCCCGCCAGCCCGCGCCCGCGCCCGCGCACTACCAGGTACGCCACGCGCTACCGCCGCTTCGGCCCCGCAGCCAAATTACAAAAAGGGACTTGAAAATGATTGTTCTAAACCTATTGTGATATTTCTATTTTCTTCTTCTTCCTCTTCTTCAGTATCCTATTCTTCCTCTTCTTCAGTATCCTATCTTCCTCCTCTTCAGCATCCTATTCGTCCTCTTCTTAGCATCCTATTCTTCCTCTTCTTCAGTATTCCTATCTTCCTCGTCTTCAGCATCCTATTCTTCCTCTTCTTCAGCATCCTATTCTCCTCTTCTTCAGCATCCTATTCTTCCTCTTCTTCAGTATCCATTTCTTCCTCTTCTTCAGTATCCTATTCTTCTCTTCTTCAATCTCTCTCTTT